ATCTTTATAGGCACACGCCATCAATGTTCCAACTGTATCATTAATTAGAGCTACACATTTTGCATTGATATGCTAAAAACAATATGTATTAAATTAGTTTTTCCCAAGTTATATGTACATTATTCACTAAGATTTGATAACATATTATATAATATATGATGAATTATTTACTAAGCGAAAAAAACCATATATCGCAACAAAAACAAACATTGAAAAGTGGAAAAAGACCTCTTGCTGATTGTTTTCAATATTGGCGAGTAATTAATACTCAGGACCACATCTTTACACCCCGAATATCAACTGTCGTGTCATCCTTGTTACTGATTAGAAAAAGAGAAAAATTCGTTGTTTATTTCAGCATATGCCTCGCCCTATTTAACGATGTAAGCTATCAAATAGAGATATTTTTCTTAATCTAAGATGATCTCAGAACAACAAACACTAGAATAAACTAGTTGATAATTATTTAGTATATTTTCTAACTTATCATGTTTAAGATCAAATTATATTGTTTTAGTCCTGATCCTGGCAACATTTATTTTTAATAACTCAAATACATCTCTGTTTTGTCCCATTTTCGATCTAGAGAAAACTATTCTATAAGTGGTTTGTATAATATCTAAGTTACTTTTAGATATTCTTTTTTTTTCTATTGATTTAGTCGATGGAAAGCATGTATTTGTCATCTCTTTGGAATTATGTTTTGATTGGCATGATTTATGAGAGAATTTTCTTAAAAGCATAGAACATTTCATTATGATCTTTCGTTTTGGCTCGAAGAATTTGTTCTTTTTCTCGTAGATCTGGGTTCAGTATCTTCTCTTTCTCACGTTTCCAGATTTTTTTCTGTGCACCTCTAGTCGTGTTATATGCAATTGTTAGAAAAATGATGAAATTTTTTAACCAAAAAAAAGAGATGATTGCTTATTTTCTGTGACCAATAACCTTGAGTTCTACTCAGAATCTTGTTCTCGAATCTCTAAAAGCTTTTCCATTCTCATACAACAAGATCAGATCTGCTCATCTTCCATCATGAATACGTTCAAGTTTTTATCTAATTTTTAGTATACTTATTTTATGATTTAAACAAAAATGTTCGAAATATTGATTGCACAAAGAAAATTATTGTTACATATATCCTAAGCAAAATTACACTTAAGCAGAAATGAATTTTCATTTTCATTAAGAACAAATAATACGTATTTGTTTCCTCTCTCTGAAATACTTGCAATAATGACTTCTTCTATATTCACATTAGAAGATGATATTGAAAAATAATGTTATAAAATAGCAGTTTATTTCGATAGCGGAATTTAGAATGCAGCATATACACACAAGACTTAAAGACATACACAATGAGCCTTCTAATCTTGCTTCTTCGTTGGATAAAGTAGGAGTATATGAAGTAACCCATTAGATGGCTTTTTTTTGTCATATCGAATGGAATATCTGATCGAGTTCTGCTGTTGGAATGAGTGCCAATGATACTCAGTCACATTGAATTCAGATGAATAAAGTGGCCAATCTGATGATTGAGTTTTGTTGATCATACACATTAGCTTCGTTGATGCAATCCTGTTGTTTTCGTCAATCGTACCTTAGAGACCTATGTGCCTATTAATGCAAGTCAGCTGACTCAACCACTGAACTTGTTAAAGACGTAGTGATTGGAAGTCCCAATTGAATGTTTCGATATATAATTGTCGATCTTTGATGAGAGAAATTTTATGATTTAGCCTATCAGATTCAGTGAATAGTCTTATCTCATGCAAGCGAGCAAAAATACAAGTTATTATTCGATGATCACTACGAAGTTACCATGCTGCTACACTGAGTTATTTCATTTACTTTTGAAATATCTTTTAGAGCAAATAAGCATTATTCACATGTCAGATATTCCATCTTTTTTCTCTTCTTAATTAGTTAATGCATCTGAAAGCTAATAATGACAAAACACAGAAGGTAAATATGACTAATGAGTTGTCAGGAAATGCCATGTATGATAACGATGTTAAGTTTTTCTACCTTCTACTCATATGCCAAATGAACGATTTCATAAAGGAGCGAAACTTTTGTTGCGTACTAATTAATACTTATTTTATTATCTATTTAACTATATTAGATTCGAACAACAAATAAATATAAACTTGAAATTTCTTTTTTTTTTTTTTTTTATTTGGTCACAACTTGTTAAGAGAAATTTAACTCTCATTGAACACACTTGTGAACTCGATATTTTTCTATTATTAAATGAAAATTTACAAAATGATAATAATTACATAGCTATAGATCGGTTTATTGCAAAACTAATTTCTTTCTTTATATTAACTAACACAGTTATTTTATTTGATTATCTCTTGTTTATTGTAACATAATTATATTAATAATTCAATACGAATGTAAATTTGAAGAAAATATCAATAAAAATAAATATGAATTTACTATTCTTAACTTTTTGCCTAACGTATATCTTAAAGTAATAAAATAAATTTTGGATAGAATAAATCAAGCGTATCGCTTATGTCATTTATACTTTTATCTCTATCAATCGTATGTACTTGAAAGCCGCCAGATATGAGTGGTTGCATTATCGGAAGCTCAAGTAATTGAACTCAAAAACTCAATATTAAACTGACCATCTGTCCAAAGCTACAGCTAATATTAAGTTTAGGAAAGATATAGGACGGATGAATCTATCATTAGACAATACTTCACATGGCAAAATAGCTGAAAGACAGAGATATTCTTTCTTCCTTTCTATACAACTGAATAGGTAACATCAATATTCGATGTACTTTAAGTTCTAGAATCCAACTAGGTCACAGTGACCTTTAACAACATAAAAACAATGATAGAACTAAATAAATTAAATTTAGACAATACTATATTCATAGTTTTTTTTTTCCTATGAAGTTTAGATATCTACGTAATAATTTACCTTTTCATCAATAGCATTTTGTAAAAGTTTTACAACATCTTCATTAACAACGCCTGCACAACTAAAACCTTTTGTCCATGCTGTTAATCGTGCTGATGCAAGACCTTCTTGTTGACAAGGAAATGAAAATGTAAAGCCTAAAAGAAAATTTTGCCTTTATCGATTGTTTATCAAATATGATTTTTTTTTTTTATTATTATTATGCATTCATTCATACATACCTACTGGATAACATACTCCTGTATTTAATATACGTTCTTTTTGCATAAATTCATGTAAGCATTCAACTAAATGACGAAATAACTAAATTTAACAAAAAAGAAAAGAACTTAGTAAAAGAATAAATCTAATATACATACTCTCTTTCCGTCACCAATCATAACTGATTGTGGAATAAGAAAAATTTTTGATGTTAATTCTATTCTTGAGTTACCACGTAAATCAATTAAAAGTACACGAAAATTAGTTCCACCTAAATCAAGTGCCAGTACTTGACCAATTTCTGTTCCATTTGGAATATTTCGTACATATGTTGGAAACATTTTTACTATTGCTTGATCATGTGTTAATGGTGATAGACCATTATTCATTTCTTCTTCTAATAAATGCATTATTTGTGCAAGTTGTTCATCAGATATTTTTAATGAATCGAGAACTTTCTCTATCTAATCAATAAAATTAAATTATAGTTTATTTTTCAATGAATTTTTAGAGACAAAACAAAAATATTTTCGTTTTCATGAAATCAAAATAATTTTAAAACAAAAATCGTTCCGCTAATATCTACAATGAATCTGATTATTACATTAATATAGTTATGGAAACAAATATATTAGACAAATTATTTGAATTAGTCTAATAGAGATAATAATATTATTGTTTATTACGGACACTCCTTGTTTTTCAAGAGCAAAACATTTATTTTCAGAAATATTTGTCATAAACTCCGCTGTAAAGGACTTTGTATCCGTCATCTGTTTGCTTAATGTCATTTCTATTATGATAAACTACAATTGAATGTTATTTTTATTGAATTTGCACAAAACAAAATAATCTATGTTCTCAAATCAAAATAAAAACTTTCTTATTCATCAAACAAAACATCTCGAAAGTATCTATCGTAGAGACGACCCACACACTATTAGCATAGATCAATTTGCTAATATTATTCAAAATAAAAATGCAACATATTTCCTTTGTTATATATAATATAACCTTGACCTTATCTTTGTATAAAGGTACAATTATTTTCTGTATAAGATAACTTACTTGGTCATTCAGTTCTGGATGTCGATAATGTCTAACTTGATATTTTTCAGGTGCAGCAACACAATATCCAGCATAAGCAGCAGCACCAAGGACACATGTTGTTGCAAGTCCATATGCCGTTTTCCGTATCATAGATGTAATTAAATCATCTTGGAGTATTTGAGCAAAATTTAATGGCATCGTCTCTGGATTAGTTTAAAAAAATATAAATCTTCTTTGTCGAAGTATAAAAGCGTGTCTAGTTATTTTGATAATGAAAAGGAAAGAAACGAATATGTACGTACACTATTTATGATGTGTAAATAGTAGACGAAAATAAAATAAATCATAGAAAAGGAGAAAAAAAAATAGAGAACGCTTTTTTGTCTGACAAAGACAGCACAAATGTTCGAATGATTCATCTCATCGTAGAACATCGAATCAGATAGCCAAAGAGGATGTATGTTTCAACGAAGAGACTCTCTATATCATGATGATATGACAATTTTGTCTTTCACAGCGACATGTAAGAAAAAAAAACGAGGAAAATGTCTTAAAGCTTGACAATATCATTTATCTAGGCATAGAATAATGATTAATTGCCCATAATCATTAACATTGTGTAAAAACATAAAATGTACGGAAAACTTGTCAGAAAAATATTTAACGTACAAATAAAAGTACAATATTAAAAAAAAAACAGTTTCTCTGTAATTTTAATAAATATTTCTTTTTTTTTCTTTTCTTCAATGGAAAACGGCGCATCTGTAATTTTTTATTTTATTTTATTTTTTGTCTCTTCACCATATATAGAATGAGTGTCCCATCGATTGAAACTGATAATAGATCATCAATTATAATCGATGATAATATGAGTGTTATGGTACATGATCTATCTGATACAACAGTTACTAGTCATACAAGTGCTTCATGGCATTCAGTTGTATCTGATATACATATAAATAATAATCTATTGATTCGTTCACATTCAATAAATACTTGGTTAAAGATTTGTTTAATTGAACCTGATATTCGATTAACAACCGCTCAAGAATGGAAATTACGTACTTGTATGAGACGTTTACTTTCTATATGTAATCTTCCTCTGAAAATTTCTTGTATAAAAATAAAAGAATTTATTATAATATCGAATGAAAATGAATCAATACCATTTATTGATCAGGTTATTTTTGTTATATTAAAAAATTGAGCCTTTTTTTTTTAATTTAATTTGTTTTTCTCTTTCGTATTTTGTTGATTAAGAAAGAACAATCATTGCCAATGGTTGATTCTTCATTGACAACATTAATCACTCATCCATGTCTACATCAAGGTCAAACATTTTCTAATCAGTTAGAACAATTAGGTTTATACTTACGTATTTTATCACTTGTGGACGCAAATAATGGATTATTAGAAGTTAAATTATTTGAATTTTATTCGAAAAAATTACAAAATTCAACAATTATTCATATTCCACTTATTAAATCACCAAAATTTGTATTTCATATTTCATTAAATATACTTAAATTAAGTTTAAGAAGTAAGAATTCATTACTTGAATTACAATTTTCAACAAGAGAAAATGAATCAATCCGAGGAAATTATTATAAATGGAATGAAATAAATAATGAACATATTAAATTTAATATTAATGTTGACATCGATCATAGTCTAATCAATCAATTTAGTATTGTATAAATAATAACTACGATGTTATATTTTACGATTTTTCTCTTTTGCATATGTATACAATGTACGATTGAATTAATCAAAAGAATAGTCGGTATCTATCTCAAAAAGGTTTTTTTTCAATTAGATAAAAAATCACCGTGCTACTCGACTTATATTATCCATGAAGATAACATTTCATTTCGTTCGATGGCATTGACCAACCTTTATTTATGTGATTCGTTGTTTTTCTGTATAATGTAATAATGGATGTTGATTTCAACGTTGTAAACAAATATTAAAATATTAATGAATTCTGAGTTCTAGACTGTAATAAACGACACTATTATAATTAACAAAAAAAAACAAGTTTTGTTTTGGAATTGAAGTAATAAATATCTTATATAATATTGCGTAGTTAATTTAACTTGATCTTATACAAAGTTCTTTTCTTCAATTATAATTTAATAAGCATAAAAGTAGAGAATTTCATAGTAAAAATATTTCTAGAGTTCTACGATTATTGATTTTTTTCCAATGATTAAAATTCTTTCTACTTTATATATCTTTAAAATTTCTGTTTTACAACAGATTTTTGTTCTCATTTATAACGTATATTATTTAGTTATTAAGGATAAAGTGCATACTTAATCTATATGTAAAACAGAAAAATGAGAACCTGAAAATGTGTGTTTATGTATCTTTTATATTCTCCATTGCACTCAAATATCGATCAAATCCTAATCATATCTTAAATGAAAAAAATTTGATTTTAATTATAGAACCAAAATCTTTTGTTACGTTTAGCTTGATATAATTTTTTTTTGGTTCGATGTAAGACTGTGCTTTATGAATGACGAAGTTAATGATAAACACTGTCTAACGTCTAATTAGGTGATGATAGAATGTTATATACTTGAAGTCGATCAATAATGGAAGTTTCATAGTTATGTATAGGATATGTTGATGTTAACAACCCTATCATCACATATATGTTTGTTTCTAGATAATTGTAAATGCTTCACCTCTTTCTTAATACGAATAAAAAGTACACCCAGGCTCGATCATAAATAGCTATATGATTGAATATTGAATCTCTATATTCAACTCAATTATAGAAACTACGTCCTTTTTTTTTCTTGTACTAAAGAAAGATGTCAAATTTTTCGAATAATGTTAATGATAATCATTTCCAGCTGTTACCAGTATAAAGTTATATTCATTCCGAAAAGTACATGATCATCAATTCTTCCTGTTCTATTCAAATAGACTATTTGTTCGAAAAGATGAAGATATGCTTCTCATTTCATTTCATACAAAACAAATGGGAAAAAATACTTTTGATCACCAGTTTTTTCGAGCTGTGATTTTTCATGATTGCTGATCAAGCGCTTGCAAACAATAAATACGAGAGTGTGGGTAGATGTTGGTACCCCCCACAAAAGAAGGCCATGTCTAAGCAAAAGTTCACGAGACTCATTACAAGGACATGCACTAATTAATTACAAAAATATCTAATTTTTCTTAAATATTAATTAATAATTAGTCGAAAACTAGTGTTTTTCTGTTGTTTTCCCGAGAAATCGCTAAACACAGTATTTTTTTAATGAAAATGGCAGTTTTTCCATGAAGGATACCCAAAAACATTATTAATTAATTATAATAAATTATTATTATTAAAAAAAAGTTTAATTAATAATTGGTTAAGATTTGACCTCAATAGAAGGCTATCCGAAAAGTAACGATGTGCGAACATGCTATATGAGGCCATGGGCCATTTGTTCTGAGGGAGGGGGCTTTATTCATATCCTCTTCACCCACATTCACACCCCAAATCATCGAAAATCACAGCTCGAAAAAAATAGTTATCTCTTGTATTTTAAAGTATTATCTATCGTAACTTTAATGTGTTTACTTTAATGATAGAAAATCCATTTACACAATCGAACACATTTTTATGGAGTGATAGTTTAACTAGAGCAAATAATAGAAAAAAAAAGGCTTATCAAATCTCTGGATTTTTCAGTTTCTAGAGATATTGTGAATCAATAACAAAAAGGAAAAGAAAACTGATTTATTATAATATATAATGAGCATCGTTTTTCGGAGGTGTTTTTCGCACCCACAAAATTTTGTTTTTAGATAATAACTGAAATCGAATGATACACCACTTACGAGGAAATCTTTTCAGCTGCTATCTTTCGACTTCAATGATTTTTTTGCCTGTAGATACTACATAGTTTTTCTAGAGACTCTAGGTTTTCGGTAAACTCGTATTTTTTTTTTAAACTTTGTGTATATAAGGAACTCAATTAGACTAACTTCCATTAAAAAAAATCAGAAGTTTGAACAAAGTTTCATTGAGATATGAAGTTTTCAAAGACTACATGCTATATATACTATATATGAAAAGCGAAAGTGTCATATCTCGGAGAGACTTTATTCAATACTTGTGAATGTTTTTATTGAAGCTAGTTTAGTTGAGTTTCCTATATGAACAAAATTTGAAAATATGAGCTTTCCGTAAACCTAGAGTCCCTAGAAAAAAATCGATAGCTTAGTCAAATCTTAATACCTTTTAGGCTTTTTATTAGGATACTTTGTAGTATCTATAAGCAAAAAATCATTGATTTCGAAAGGAAGTAGCTGAAGAGATTCCTTCATTAGTTGGAACAAAAATTTTAAATGAAATTTAATATTGACTAGTAGTATTGATAAGTTCGTCATTATTTCCTAAGTAGTTCATATCTCTTTCAATAAAAATCTTTTTTGAGAATCACACAGTGATGTTCCAAAAGTGCCGGAAGTCGCACGGATAAAGTTCATATTGAATTATGGATTGACTTTTCTTTTTTATTGCTCTTTTTTTGTTTTATATATTTCAATAAACAACCCGGAAATGATCGACGATAGAAATTTTAATGATGATTTTTTTTTATTTGACATGATGTATTAACAGAAACTATATCCTTTATCAAAATAAAATAACAGAAAGAAAAATATATTTAACGGAATGAATCTTTCATTATAGTTCGAGATAAAAATTGCTACGTACTTAGCTAACTTCAAATAAAAATCTTTAGGCTTTCCTCCTGAGAATCCTCTAATTTCTAAAATCCTAATTTGGTAAACTTAGATAAAAAGAAAATTTGATAATATTTATTAATATGAAAAAATCCTAAATCTTGTATATCGGTTAGTAATTAATCGTAATTTTATCTTATGATAAACTTGAACTATTTACTAGAATATGTTGCTTTTCGTCAATACATATTAAAAATGGTTAAACTTAACCAATAGTTATATTATTGTCTTTTATCTATAAATTGTCGCTCTAAGATAGAATATTTTAATTTTATATTTAATGATTTGACATTGAATTTATTGATAAATTAGCAAAAGAAGAAGATACAGAAGCAGAAGAAGCGGGATTATATTGCACAAATTGACTTTGATCATTATTATTGTAAGTCATTAATGGTGATGAAATTTGTGTTTGATTTATTCCAAGTAAACCACCTGGACGGTAAACATCCTGAGGATGAATAAGAGGTGGTGGAAATGTTGTTGGTCGTGTTGTTGGAATGTCATATGCACCAATTGGTTGTGGACGATATGGATCATATTTAGTTGGCAATGCTGGTAAAGATTGTTGAATAGTACGATTTGAATCACTGAAATTTTGGCACTGATAATTGGACGGATATTGTAAATCTGATTGATGACTTGAGAAAGTTTGTGGTGTTGGTTGAGTTAATTGATGATGTATAAAAGGTTGATAAACTGATTGTTGAGATTGAAAAGGTTGTGAAGGATAGAACTGTTGTTGTTGTTGTTGAGGAAATGATTGAGCATCAAGAGGATTATAGGTCATTGGAAGTTGACTACTATAATTTTGAGCAAATAAAGTTGAATTCTGATCAAATGAATTCGATTGATTATACGTCGGTTTTTGATATGACATTGAATGTTCAAATGAAAAAGGTAATGATGTTTGTGTTGTTGAAATTGATGATGGTGATGATCGAAAAGGCATCGATGTTTGTTCAAAAGGAATTGATGATTGTACTGAAAATTGATTATGTGTATTAAATGCTGGTAAAGTTGTAAACTTTTGTTCAGTTATGTTTGAAAAATTTGAATATACAGGACCGGTTGGTAATACTCGATCAGTATAAAAACTAGTATTCGTATTTATAGCTGGCATTGTCGGTGGCATATACATATTTTCTTCGACTTTAATTGATGATCGATTTGTTTTTGAACTCCATGTTTCAGGTTTCATAGCAGCTAAATAATCTTTAAGACGTGGTCGATCAGGAATAATTGGTGAACCTATATCACGATTCAATATGTTATGTTGAGATGATATTTCTTGATTTAATATAATTTTTGATGATTGTTGAGAATGTAAAGTAGTGAGACGTTCGTTTAGTGATTTTAACTTTACACTTTGCTAATAAGAAAAGAATATCAACGTACAATTGAAATAAATCGAATGTATATTACTTTTTTATAAAATTCAGTTCCTTCATGTGCTTTTGATAAAGTATCATCAAATAATTTAGATGAATGAATATATTCATCAATTAATCGATGACGACTAAAACAAAAAGATGGACATGTTTTCGCAATGCAATTATATATATATATATAATCCTAGACATAAATAGTTTTACTCGAGTTTTAAAATATATTGTCATCATAAAAACAAACAATTATATATTCTGAAAACGCTAGGAATTTTCTATCACTCTGTATATTTATGTTTTTATTTGTGTCTACAGGATGGAAAATGAGTCAATTGCAAAAAAAATTTCTTTTCTCGTAGGAGAATAGATCTTTTCAACTGTTTTGGGTTTTTCTTATTTCAAAAGATTAAGATAATAAAAAAATCTATTCTATACGAATACTAAAGTTGAAATAAAAAGAAAAGTGATAACAAATACAAAAATTTTGAAATTTTTCTTAATAAGTGCGTCTATCTAATAATCAAGTTATTCATTAGAACTTAGATGTAAGACACAACAGAAATATATATGATAGAGAATTTCAAGCGCTATCACACTACAATTAAATCCATACAAACTTATTTCGGTAGTTATTTTAACTTGAAAAACAGGACAAAATATAATGATGTTTGATTTGTGTCAATTGAACGTGTCTTCGCTGTAATCGAATTATTATTTAAGTAATAAAATTTAAGACAATCAAGACTTATGTTATACTAACCACTCAAAACCATGACTGTTCTGGTTGTTTTTTTTTTCATATCTTAGTGCATGAATATTTTTAGACTCTTAGAAAAATGTTAGATTTCAGTCAACATCGCGCCCTTCTATTTTCAAAGAGCAAGTTCAAGCCGTCTGTACCAGATGCATCGGCTATTTTCGAGTTTGATTATCGGTTAAAGATGACTTCACAAAAAAATCAATTATTCTAGTTTAAAGACTTAACCAATAGGTAAAAATGTGGTGCGATCTGACTAAATATACTGTGGCATATTAAGATCGACTCTTTTTTAGTAGCAACTGATCTCTTCAAGACAGACAACATTAAAAGTTATTAGGAAAACTTGATAAAAAAAAAGAGTAGAAGCCGGTTTTCACTGAACTGCTATTAACTGTCGGTTTCGATGAAAAATTGATGACATGACTAATTTTAAGTTCTATTAGAACACAGCCTCTGATTTTTAGAGAACTATTTCTGTCATGATGATAAATTTAAAAAATTAATTAATAAGGCATTAACAAATTACAGTTCTTGGGCATCTGACGATGAGGATGCCATTATTACAGTTGATTTATTTTCCAACGAGTAGGCGCAAGTTAAAATATAAATATATAGGATGGTAAAAGAAACTCCCGGCACTTTGAAAATATAGAAATTATTTTTTAAAATGTGCTTTTATGGTGACGGTATATTTAAACATTCAGCTAAAACTATTTTTTTTCTTCAAGTATTATATATTTATTTACGCTTCCAATGTAGTTGAAATTTTTGTTCTTATATTAGCAATATTTGCATTTGCTTCTGTTAATGAATGCAAAATATTATCTTGCGCTGTACAATTTTGTTTAATAATATTAATAAATTCTTCATGTTTTTTAATTTGTTCAGAAAATAAATTCTAAGAAAAATAAAAAGTATTAATTGTAATAGAAAAATAAAATAATTCTTAATTACTTTATGATTTTCTTGTCGTCGCATAAGAACAAATTTTGTTATATCATCATCTTCAATCTTCTTACGAAAATCATTTAATAATGTTTCACGTTGTTTTTTCATTGTTTCAACTTTTTCATTTAATAATCTAAGACATGCTAATTTAGATTTATTTGTTTCATCTAAATTAAGATTAATAAAATTAAAACAAAACAAAAAAAGAAAATTAATTGACTTTTATACCATCAAGTTCAGTGATAATTGGTAAAGTTTTTTCTAATTGTTCAAGTGGCAAATTAAGAATTTTTAAATGTTCAATTATTGTTGTCATATGTTGATGTAATTCAGTGTTATTTTCATTTGCTTGTAACATCATTTCACGAATAGTTTTAAGATTTATTTGTAGATCTTTGAATTCTTTATTGGATTTTATTGATTCATTATTTTCTTCAAAACTTTGAAGCAATTGTTCGAATTCATTAATCTGTTCGGTTATATCAAGATGTTGACTATTAAGTTCTAAATAAAATAAAAAATGAACTTTGTTATTTTTTGTTACAAGTTATTTTACTTTATATAGAATTCCGAGGAAAGATAATATTAAAAAAAAACTTTTAATTTCGATTCTTAAAGATAAGATTGTCTTGACTATTGAATCGGGATTTTATGCACGCATCATATAGGTTTTGACGAGTTAAGAATAAGCTGAAAAGAGTTCGAACTAATAGCGTATTGTTATCGAAGGAATACCTTTTCAGGGTATTTTTTTAGCACAATGCCCGTGTGACTTTTTCTTAAGAAACACTAGGAAAAGTGAATTTCGCGTTTCACTAAGATACAGCTATGATGAGATGATATTTTTCATGCTGCCTATATATAATGAAAAATTCCTATATTCTTATTTCAAAATAGATGCAATGAAAAAATCTGAAACTTTTACAATATACAATTGTCGTTAAAGGCTGTTTCTATGCAGAGTTTCAATTCGAACTTCAAAATTCAATTTTACTCGTGTTTCTCAGGGGGCCACAACATTCTTCTGAACAATACAGTATCTCGGTAGCAATACGCTATTAACCGCAATTATTTTCAGGATATTCATCGTTCATTAGAATCCACATAGTCCCAACTCAAAAGCGATTTGACATTCAGAAGAGTTTCCTCTTAAGTAACAGTATTAATAAAACTAAATTAACATAAAATGTATATATGTATAAGAAGTATAACAAAAATGAGAATGACAATTAGCGAGCTGCTGGTCATTTTAGATCCGGTCGAGTCCGTATCCAAATTTAATGTTAGATCCACTTTTGATCAAGTTTCGAGTCTAAATAGAAACGACTTGATATCAGTCTACTCGAGTACAACATTTCGTCCTACATTTGAACTTTAGAGGTAGGAAATCTGATAAGTAAGATCATCATTCATAGAATTAAAATCGACAAATAAATAACGTTTAGAAAAGAATATCAAACTATCAAGTGACCATAGCTGATGCAATTAGCTTGTAAAAGTATTAAAAGTTTATGAAGGAAAACCAATCAAGTTCTAACTGAAAAAGCTAAAATCATAAGATTAAACTACTCTTCTACAATCGATCAAGATATGCAAAATAAAATTGATTTTATTTCAGTTTCAATAGATTCCCGTTGATCTTAACACTATATTGTTATCATCATGTCTCTTCATTCAATTCGTGATATTTTTATTATTTAGATCAATATGTTTTTCTATAAATAACTATATTTTAAATCTGTTAAGTTTTCAGATTAGTGAACTGCGAGAAAGCTGCAGATTTAGCACTAAATTTGTCGATTTGAATCTTCTTTCATTCATTTTGATAATAATGAAAAAAAATAATAAATTTTTCATAGTCTAATTTATCAAGTTCAATCTTTAGTATTTTCAATCTACATACGCTGCATAGTTGAAACCAGATCTTTAGACATATTCGGACGTGTAACAATAGTAGCACAACAATCGAGTAATTCGCGTGGTAACCGAAGATATTCATTATTTAATGGAATACGATCCAATTGTAAGCAATTCATAAATGTTCTTGAAAAAAATAAATAGATTATATAAATAACATAGAAGTTTTTTCTTTTTTTTTTTTTACTCAAGTTCTCGATTTTTATTTTCCATTAATTGAATTATTTCACGTAGAAGTTTCGCTTTTTCCTCACTATATTCCGATACAGCTAAATGTATATCCTAAAAATAAAAATTGTTTAAAACTCATCATTTAAAACCAATCTATAATTTACCATTGGTACTAGTTTTTGAAAAATATCCGGTCCAGATACATCCGGATCATGACAATCAAATGCTTGTGGTTTAGCTACAATAGCTCCTTTAATAATAATATACACAAAAAGTTGTCTTTTTTTTTGTAATATTACTTTAATTAAATTACCTTGTACAGTTGGTAAACTTGATAATGCTGGTACTTTTTCAAAATAAACATTATCATTATCACGTTTAACTATTTTATATCTATTCGAAACAAAATCGTTTTGTTTTAGCAAAAAAAAAAAAAGAATTACTAGACTTACTTTCCCATGATAATATCAATCGTAAATGTATGTGCATCTTTATATATACTTGTTTTATCTGTTGATATTTTTTCTGCATTTTTCCATCCATCTTTAAGTCGTTCAATAGCATTTTCAAAATAACAAACAGATTCACCATGTTTTTTATTTTCTTCAGCTATTAAACCATTACAATAATATGTTATTGAAAGATAATATGATAATTTATATGTCAAAGCAACACGCCATTCCTGAGCAAAAGAAAAAACAATACAAAACAATTTTATAATTTATTCGAAAATTCAAATTGTAACAAATGTTTTACTGAAAAATAAACCGTACATTACTATGTCCAATATTGTATTATGATATGATATTTTTTCGTAAGAAATACAGAAGCATCTCTGGTCATTCTGTATATTTATTAATAATGTCAAACTATAAAATTCTTATCCAAATCTAAAGAAGTTTTTGCACATAAGGTGACATTTTATTAATTTCAAATTTGACAATAATTTAGATTTTTATTTTTCAATGTAACTCGTTCTTCGCTTTCAACTATAGGAGATGGCAGATTATGTTCGGACATTGTATTATGATTAAGACATTCAAAAAAATGTCTAAACTTTACTGATGTTTTTTTCACAAAAATTTCTAAGATTTGAACGTGATGGTTTTACCAAATACATAGCTCGGTAAGCTCTAATTACATGCATCAATCTCCGGTCGATATTGAGCTTCATGCATCGGATTAAGAATAAAAACAATAGTTTTCTTCTTGAATCTCATCAAAGGCTTTGTGGGCATTTTTTGATTCGTCATTATTTTCAACTGTTCATATATATTCATTTATTGACAAATAAAGCTTCACATGTCTTTACTTTGTGACATACAGAAGACTCTAATCTGTTGTGATTCTGAGGCGTAGCGATGTTTCCTTTATCTACGACGGTCTTCGCATAGATTTCCGCTTATAATCATGAAAATTTTCAGCAAATATTCGATTAGAGCAGAGAAATCACTAAAGAAATTTTCAACGTAAATGATTGAAAAAAGTTGGAATTACAGAGTACATTCTGACAAATCTCATCAAATGTCATGCTAAGCATACCCAAAGATAATTTCATAAATCATGTAAACTATCATCGTTTGACATAAAATTTTTTATCAGTAATATAGATAGCACACTGAACGCTTGAATAAAAGTGCAAACGCTTCGTAATAACCAAGTTAATTTCTTCACATGAGGTCAATCAGAGTGTATTGTCCTCTATTTCTGACTAAAATATATGAGACTAAAAGATTCACGTTTAGATACTTTTCATTTAGTAGTAGAACTTTTGACAGACTATGTAGCTTAGTCAGACGATATGATTGTTATACATATTAAAAATCAAAAACTAATATATGTTTGTATTTAAATGGAACATACACGAAATATTTTTGATGCAATTGAATTAATTCCTGGTTTCATGAGATTTACAAGTGCCATTTGATAATACTCCGATATTTGCATGGCTAAATGAGCATTAATTGAATGTGGTCGTTGATCAAGTAATGATTTCTCAAGAACAGCTTCATGTGCTTGAGCCTTTGAAATAAATCAGAATATCAATTCGAAAATATCGAAAGACAAAAAAGAAACATTACCAAAAGTATATCAACTTGACATGTTAATAATTCCGGTGTAAAATCTGTTGAATATGGTGTATATTGATCACGTAATTTTTCAAAACATGCAGCTCCATATCGAAAATCAGTACAAGCATTTTTCATACTCTTAAAAAAAAGATTGAAAATAATTTAAATATTATTAATATTTTTTTTTTGATGGTATACTTCATGTGTTTTTCTTGTTTCATTGGCACCTAATCTTGAGTATATTGCTCCAATATTATATAAAATACAAGCTTCTTCAAATCGAATATCATTATATGTATTTTCATCTTTTTGAAATGCATCTTCCCTATTTTAAAATAAACAGTTTAGAAGTGAAAAAGATAGTTTTTGTTCTTTTATAAATTTTACCATGTAAATCGAACAGAACATTCTGTATCAGGTAACATAGGAAAACGATTACGTAATAATTGTAATTGACAATAGTAACGTTTAAGACATCGTACACTAGATTCATCTGTTGAACAGTTAATAGCATTCTTAAAAAAAAAAAAAAGAAAAAGAAAGAAGATTCGAATAAAAATTGATATGTTTTTATTAATTCACTTCTCGAAGACGATTTATTTGTTCACATTCATTAGAAAAATTGGCACCATTTTCTTGATAATTAGCTGTTATATACTAAACAACAGGAAAAAAAAAAACAAGTAAAATTCTATTTTTAGAAAATGGGTCAAATTAAACTTTTACATTTGGAATTTTTTCACATAAATCAATTGATTCTATAGATAATTTTAAATCGAAATTTATTGCAGGAAGACGTGGACAGCCTTTAAAAACCAAATAAATAAATGAAAGAAACTTCTTTTCTCTTCATTCTTACCTTCCATGTTCATGATAAAGAAAAAGAATCTGAATAAAAGAGATGAAAGAGTCTTTTTCTATCACTCCTGCTTAATAAAAAAAAAAAAGAAAAGAGAAATAGTAAGACGTAGTATGGATAACTTTAAGAGAAAAAAGACAACGACGACTAGTGGTTGGTTGTTTATATCAAATGAAAAGAATGAAGAATGGCGGAAACTGATGAGTCATTTTATATATATACATCCTTTTTTCCTTGAGCTTCAGAAGTTCTTTTCTCTTTTTAGAATAAATAAAGAAAAATAAATTCCACGTCAATATTATTTTTATCATAATGTAACAAAGATTATGTCAAAGAAATTTAGTACACAATCATTGTTTTAACATATTTGTCATAAAACTATATATCACAACTAATTTATCTTGCAATAAACTTATCAGTTTCATTAATTCAATTTTTGTTTTTACACATTATATTGTATGCATGGTAAAATTGTAAAAAAGTAGAATATGCAAATAGTTTGTATGAACAAACAATGACGGCACGACTGAATCAGAAAAAAAAGTCTTCGATTATTTTTCTACAGTTTAATATGTATATTTCGAACCTTCAAAACTCTTTTTTATTTGATATAGGGACTTTTCAAATTTTTCTTATCTCATTAAAACTCATCTACTATAATGAGGAAATACTCCATAGTTAACAACAACGCATTCATTAATATCAAGGTATATAGTCTGACACAGACGTGTCACGAGCAGGGACATGATTCCACCAATCTTAACAAATTTTCATTTTTTCCCAGTGAAACTGAACGATTTTCTTCGTTTGTTTTGCTGATCAATTTCCACAACAATGGTCAATTCCTTCCTCATCTGAATGTTGATGTGATCTCGGGAAACCTCTGGTCTGATGTGTTTTTTTATTGCTTCCAGTGAAATATGGTTTATTATGAATTTAATAGAATTATATTAAAGTGAAGCAAAGAATAAAGTTGTCGACTATTTGAATAATCATGAATGGTACTTTAACTACTGAAAATTGACATGAATTTCCAATTCTTACATCTCATAGTTCTGATTGAGACATATCTCTTATTATTTCAGGATATTTCTTGATAAAGGATTTGATGAATGAGCAAAAAACAACTGAGACACTAATTGAAAATAGAGACAAATTCATTAATGAACTAATTTCAGTTAAAATAAAAGGTCGTTAAACAAAAAAAAAGCACAACGTGGACAAGATTATGGAAAGAGGATTAATTCAACCAAAAAAATGAAGTAAAATTGTATAACATCTCCAACACAACAGTATGCAATGCAACAAACTTTTTCGACAATTAATTTCAGTGTCAAGAATGATCACATGAATCAAATGGTTTGAACAATAGAAGATATTCATAATTTATAGGTAATGCATTTCTTTAATCAGATATTTTCATATTTCCCTTGACAGAAAAAAAAAGAACTAGACAGTCGTCTTAATCAAAAATATTAGAAGAGGAATCGTAAGACCGTCGAGTATACGAGGCACTCGCTAGAAAAACAAATGGTCTCCTTTTTTTGTATATATTCAATGCATCGGTGTCTAAAAACGTCAACACCAGATTTTACTGTTCAATACTTTTTCTTTCAAAAGTATGTCAATACCAACTTTTTATCACTATTACATTCTTATGACAAAAACAAAAAAACACCCCGTAAAAGTTATGCTCGTTTTCGTTTCAATGAATCATGGAAATTTTTTTATAAATTATACTGAAATATAGAGAATTAAAATTCATGTATATTATGCAACTTTTTATTCTCTACACAATAACAAAGAAATCCGCGTGGAAAACTATATTGAATCAAATATATTTCAGAGAAATTTTTTCCTTCGAACAAATAACCTGTGGTCCTCCACAACAGTATTTTATTAAAATTTTGCACCATCATGTCTTCAAGAAATTAGTATTTCGTAGGAAAAAGTTTTCTCTAAAATGAATTTGGTTCAATGTAGTTTTCCACGCGGATTTCTTTGTTATCGTGTAGAGAATAAAAGGTTACATAATATACATGAAATTCAGCTTGAATCTCTCTGATTTTAAATTCCGACAGAAAATAGATTATTATATATTGAAATAGCTTATTTTGTTCAGTTTTTAACCTTCTATATTTTAGTATAATTTTAAAATATTTCAATGATTCGTTGAAATGAAAAAGAGTAAAACTTTTACAGGCTTTTTTTTCTTGTTTTTTCTCATGAGCAAATGATAGTGATCAAAAGTCGGTATTGACTAAGTTTTGAACGACAGAGTATTGGATGCTAAAGTTCTGAGGTTGATGTTTTCGGACATCGATGCATTAAATGCACAAAGAAAAGCTTGTTAGCACAACCCTTTTGGGCTGAAATGTGGAGCTCACATATATTCTTTACCTTCATTAAACTAATATACAATAGGTGAAGTGAATAATTTCTCACATTATAGTTCCGTTCGCAGATAATCGATCAGCAAAGTAAATAATTATTGTATTTATTTCTGTACATCGAATAGAAGTTTTTTTCTTTTTTATGACTCCCTATTTTGTGCTTACAACGTTGCAATTCGCTCGGTCTTTTTCATTGTTGTATTTTATTTTTCTTAATTTAATATTGTTATCATTATAAACATTGAATTAGATGGAAAATAAGATTGTTGTAAATATCTATTATATCTACAGCAGCGGATCTTAACACACTATTATATATCTCGATTAACTCGCAGGAAACTGACATTTATTATTTTTTAAAGTTATAACTTGATCAATTCAAGTTTTTCGAGTTGTTTAAATGACAGCTGCGGTATGGGGGATATTCTAGTAGCTGAGGTTTGTAGTGGAAAGGGGAGGGACCGCAAAACTTCTACTTAAAACTTACACTCAGTATTTTCTTCAGAAATATATATGAGTACCACAAAAACTTTTAAGCCATAAGTCTAGGAGACAGGAAGAAAAAACACTGAATGCCTACTATACGTTCTTTATGGATGGTTTCTTAGAATAATCCTAGTAATATAATCGATGATCAATTGTTCTTTTTAACTTAGATTTAGAATAGGATGCTTTAGAAAAAAATATTTTAACACGGAAAAAGTTCAGAATACATCAAATTTCAGAACAAAAGTCGTATCTTGTGCTCTGGCTTTTAAGGTTGCAATTAACCAATTTTATTCGACATATTCAATCACAAGATTGGCTCATAGTAGATGATTTCGTAAAAGATTGATACATCAATCCCATTGTTTCATCATCTATATCACTCTCCAACCGTAATACGAATTTATTCCATTCTTCTGGAGATAAATCTTTCATAGCATAAGCTGATTTTGCTCAATATTCTTTAATAAATTTAGTTGCATTGTACAGATTTGTAGCTGTCAAATCAAGAATCATTGTTGGATGATCAAGCACTGATGCTGAATTTTTAATCTATAGAATATAATAAATTCTTAAATGATAGTAAGATTAGAACGAATTGGAAAATTTCTAAGAGCTTACATCAATTATATATATTTGATGATTTGGATTAATGTTTGGATAGGTTGTAAATGAAGGTATATTATAAGTAATAGAAATTTTTGAAGATTAAAAAAAAGTATTTGTATTGTACGAACATTCATTGAAAACTTATCGACTATTTAGAATCTGTTTGACTATAGAAAAGGATAAATTCATCAAAATGAGCATAACCAAAAAATGGACTAGTTATTGTATTTTGATAGAGATTGACGATGATATAATAAACATAACTAAATGATACTATAGACATTCATGGTAGATGATGTTCTTCAGCTTACTGAAGTCATTGAATCAACTATAAAACAAAAATAATTAAGTCAAACTTATATTTCTAACAAATGCTACTAATATGAGAGAAAAAAGACACGTAAAATTTCCCCATTGTAATTAACCTAGAGGATCTGTTGAATTAATGAAAAGCCAACAATTATTGTTCGTACAATGATTCATATTTAATGAAATCAAACAAAGTTTTGGTAGAATTATTGGAATTAGTCCATTTTCGCCGAATTGTTTTTTCGCCGACAACGATTTTCGCCGAATTCCAACTTCTCCGAAAGAATTTTTCGCTCATATTAGTAGCATTTGTTAGAGATATAAGTTTGACTTAATTATTTTTGGTTTATAGTTGATTCAATGACTTCAGTAAGCTGAAGAACATCAGCTACCATGAATGTCTATAGTATCATTTAGTTATNAAACTGTTCTGCGTAGATTGTAGAGCTTTTAACGCTGCATCTCCTGGTCTATTTTGTTTTTCTAAAACAACTTATTAAGTGATGCAAAAATGAAATGGAAAAAGGCCGTTTTTTGTCCGAGGGAGAGTTGCATAAGAGAATATGATGATAAAGTATGATCTACTAATTGGGATCAAAATGTCTCTTTAGAGTGTCCAATCAGCGTGAAATTGTTACCAAACGGTTCAGCATTAAATCCTGCATCGATCCATATGTAAATCTCCCAAATTCAAAAATGGACAGATTTCGCCTCTTATACGGTCCCGTCCTTACTTTCCAAAAAATAAATGCATGACGATAAGCAAAGTATATGAGATCGTAGAGGATGTAAAGCGGTATCAGAGCAGATGATTACTTTATTAAAAAGCTATTTCCAAAGTAGCGATGAATTTGAACTACTACTTGAGACAACATTGGGAAAGTTCTATCATTGGGAATCTGACACTGAAGATCCTTTTGTTGCCATCAATGTTTCTCTTTAATGAGTGAGACCAAGTAACATCCAGCTCACTGAGAAGACGTATTTTGAGTGAAAAAATTCTAGCATAATGCTTAGACACATTTAGGAACATGTACAAAATTCCAATCTTAAAAGTCTTGTCTTTCGTTTTATTTTTGCATTGATTTCAAACTAGACTTAGATCCTTTTCTACATTAATTTTGAGTTGTCACGAGAACAATTTCGAAGTATGATTTTGCATGGTTAGTAAATTAACTTAACTTATAAGGAAAGTTGTGTCTCATTTAGTATGAGTATATATGAGGAACCTTTGTATTTTCATGTCGTACATTAATTAATTTTGTTTCATTCATTTTGACAGAGTGATTTTAATTATCGAAAGTGCATCTCTTTCAGATCACATTTATCTACTGTAACTGACGAAACTTCTAATGTTATTTCCTTAATAATTGAACATGATTGTTATTGAACATACGAATAGATAGTAGACCATCTGAGAAGTATTTGTCCAGAAGTTATTTCAATTGATCTGAGCTGTTTAAAGTTTTACAAAGTTTTGTGTTCGATGGGCACATGATCAGTCTATTGATGCTTGCTATTAGTTTTATGTTCGATTGCAGCATCATTTACCAAAGAACATTTGAAGACACTAATTTCAGCTAGTATTCTGTATTGTCAGTAGGGACAAACTATAGTTTTATCGTAATGATGAAAATATAACAGAATAATGAGAAGTTAGAGCCTTCCAAAGTAATTCAGGAGTAGCAAAGGCTCATTGAAACAACAAGATAGACCAACGAATTCTGCTAATTTTCTTCACAAAATCTAGTTTAACGAAGTTTCATATGCAGATTCCACATAATCTTCAGATCTACACTCGTTTCACTTTCAAAATTCAAATAAAAACTACGTGGAGTTAAATTCCATGATGACAACACAATACTACATGTGTTACAAGAATCTAGGACACTTGCCCGCAGAATATTTGCCCGCCGGATAGTTGCTTGCGGATGACACTTGCCCGCAAAATAATTTTGCACGGACGGTTGCTCACCGTTATTCTTCGAAACAAATGGTTGCTAATTTTATTTCTTTCAAGATTTTATTTATTGAAACATATCAATAATATATGTACAAGTGAGTTAGAGTTGTAAGACAAATAAGTTAGGCCGATTTCAGCGAAATGTTATTAGCTAGTGTTAATACTTTATCCAAATTTGTCGTTGACTACTCATTCAAAATGTTTAAAATTCTTTTTTGTTGACGTTCTGTCACCAAACGTTTTGGTCGTCTAACCCCGGCTTCAGCTTGAATTAATTCGGCTTCGACCATAAGTTGTTCTTTTTTCCACGAATTCAGAAATTTCCAAATGTTCGGATGTGTACGATCGACTAGCGATGCAAATCGGTTGTTCCATCCCTCGAGCATATTGTTTGTTCGATGACCACCTCGTAAAGTACCTTGATGGACATTCCAAAGTTTCACATTAAATTGAGGTCTTTTCCGCGGTCGACTTGCTCGATTGTGTTCACCGATGTAGATTTTTTCGAAGTATTCCAAGACAGGTTTTCTTTGGATCGGAAATTGCTGTTTCAATTCTTCAAATGTATCGATAACGTCGTCCGTATTCAATAAAGCCAGAGCAGGAAGAGCTCGAATTTGTTGAGCTAGAAGCGGATCGTCAGAATAATCTGTTTTAAGTCCAAAACGTACGACGGCTCGATAGACAGACTGACACAGATGAAAAAAACATCCACTAATATTGGTATGTGGAAATTTCGTTTCAATGCTACCAATAGCCGCTTGTTCAAAGTCCAATTTCACATTAACTGGATCGAAATTCGGTATCAAATCAATAATCGATTTGACCATTTCATCATATAATTTCTTTCTTTTACCTGAAAGAAAAAAATCACCATTGATAAACTTTCAAGGGTCATATTTACCTAGGGAACTGCAAAGTGGTCCCAGGACCGGGACTAAAAATTTTTCACATTGGTCCCGGTCAGTTTTCATGCAATATATTTTCACGCTTATTATTTTGATATGATTTAAGATCTGTAAATCGATATTTTTATTTGCTATTTCTATAAAAGTCTTTACTGATTACGAGTCTGTTTACAAGAATCTGAGTTTTCCAATTGTACAGGTTTTTGAATACATACAAAACAATCAACACAACACTATATACGTAAGTTTAATTTGTTCATTCTTTGATGATTCCTTTATTGAAGTCTTATCCGATAATAGTAAATAGATATGTATCGCCGTTTTTTTTTGACAATCGTAATGACTACTCAGTATAAATAATCAATTCGATAATAAATCCATTAGGTAGAGCAGTAGATATAAAAGAATAGAGAAATAAGTAAATGACTGCTACGAAGGAATTGCATATCATTCGTCGACAGTACACTTTGTCGACAGTTATTTCGTCGACAACTACTTAGTCGACAGTATTCTTTGTCGAATTTATTTCGTCGACACATTTTCGTCGAAAGGTTTTTTGTCGACATGTTTCGTCGACAACTCTTTTGATCGACAATGTATTTCTTCTCTCCCTTACGAACTACTTTGTTCTTACAATTTAACAACTTAGAAAACGATTTTACTTTACCTAAAAAAACCAAAAGTTTTCCTCGCATGAATTTGGGTGCGCGTCACCGATACAGAATGTTTCATCACCAAAAATGATAATCAAATTTACAGTTTCACCGGGATCTACATCCATATATCTGCATCTGTCCGCGCACATTGACCTGCTACTGCAATAGATCTACAATAGTTCCAGCTCATTAACTCAACTAAAATAAGCTCATGCACTATTCCAAAAGATCAGTTTAGATCAAAAGTACTGCTCGAACAGTTCGTAAGAACTGAACTGAACTTTCTAACAACTCTACTCGCATCACGAGTAGTTCACAGAAAGTTTAATAATGGAACTTAGGTGTCATGAGACCTTTACTGTTTCATCTTGGCACTGTAGTGTTAGCAGCTCCATCTTTAGTGCGAAAAGTATAATCTAGAATGCTGGAAGTATCATCTATGAGTTCTACAGAACCATCTGGGACGATTAAGGAATTATCTGAGGTACTAAGAACTGTCTAAGATCATATTGGATCAGATAGGATAAAATAAGCATCACCTTTGATGATAAAGGATCCGTACTTATGCTGCTAGCAACCCAGTTGACGCTGTCAACATCCCAGATAATGCCTATAGCATCCCAGGTAATCTTGAGCATACTAGATCATTCATAGTATCTGGTGGAAGGACTCTAGCATCATACGTGGCCTTTTAGTATCCCAATTAATGCTTCTAGAATAGTTGGCTGAGCTGCTGGCATTTCAGTCTCAACAGAGAACAATAAAGAGCTCTGAACATCTATGTTCCGCTGCTGGGCTTTCTCTAACCCGCTCATTAGGCAAGCTGAGCCGTTAGAACAGTTTAGATCAGCACGTTTTTCGCAACAGATGATCAGTTCAGAACTTGTTCTGGACTCTCGTACCTTTATCCTGCACTCATGTCCACACCTACGCCTATACCCATCCACACTTGCATCTGCTACTATTTCTGTATCTCAATCCACATCCTTGTTGTTTTCTGTTGTATCTGCTTGGTCAGTTAAAAGAAGTAGGGTAGTGCTTCTTAACGTTGGCACTTCTTCACAAGTTCTTGTCGACGAAATATCTGTCGACAATATTTTGTCGACAAAATATACTGTCGACAAAATATTTTGTCGACAAAAGTTTGTCGACGAATGATATAATTACCCTACGAAGTATATGAGAATTTTTAACAAAATTCAATGGTTATTTTTTTTTATTCGAGCTTTCAGTGAAATTCTTTCACTTTAACACTGGATATAAAAGAATTTTCGTAGTGTTAACGAATCAAAATCATTCATGTCAATTTTATGCATTCATAAAAGTACACAGATCGCAAAAAAAAAGGTTGCTGGATTTTAGAAATGAAACCATTGTCAGAGACCGGGACCGGGACCGGGACTAAAAGAAGTGATTTTGCAGTTCCCTATATTTACCTGGCAACAGAGCATAAATCATTGGAAAAACATGACCCAAATATTCGCAGTGGATCATGTACAATTGAAAAAATTAAGATTCGTTTGTCTGTCGATCCTGAGTCAAGTTAAAGGAATGTTTCATTGGATTCTGTTTTTGTCATATCATATGGAATGATCATTGTATCACGCGACGCTGGCAATGCATACGGATTTTGATTCTTTTGACGAATACGTCGAATTGTCTTCTTCAGATGTTGCAGATCTGGCAATGATGCAACTGCTTGATGTGACAAGTGATTCATTTCATCGGCAATAATATTGTGTGTCGGTTTGCTTGACGTTGTTGCATCTTGACTCATCTGTGTTCGTGCAGTTATCAATTCGGCGATTTCGACTCTTGGTTCATGATTGTGGATGCTAATTGTTAGAACGACAACATCGTTGATAGTATGCAATCGACCTTTGCATTGTCCATGTCGTTTTCGTTCACAGCACCAAATCGTTTTATCACCTGAGGATCTTTCTATGATATACGCGTAGCCATTTTCAACAAATATAGGATTTCCTTTTGTGGCGGTCATACTCTGTCAGTGGTCGATTAAGATAATAATTCAAATGATAACAAAAACACCCTATTTATAGCAGAAATAAGGTGAACTATTGTTGAAAGAAAAGAGAAAAAAAATCGGCCGCCATCGACAGTTATTGTCTCATTGTCTGTTCCCTATGCATTGCGGGCAAGAGTCCGCCGCGAGTAACTGTCGGGCGGGCGAGTGTCCGTCGCGGGCAAAAGTCCTACGAGCAAGTGCGTTGCGGGCATATGTCCGGCGGGCAAATGTAATGCGGGCAAGTGTGTGTATACCGTGTTACAACAAGTCATTATCTTTCTCACTAAAGACAATCTCAAAAATCACTTCTGTGATCTAGTCTAGTCGCATATACCAGTGCATTGCTACTAATGCGTGATATCTCGAAAAATTAGACTAGAACCGACCTTTAAAGACATTTCTAATTAGCTGCCGAAAAAAACTTCTTTAGTGCCTCATATACATACAAAGGAAAGAATTTATATTGCATTACCGAATTTTCGAAAAAAATTAATTATTAAGAAAAATATTTTGGTGAGTACATACTCAAAAAAAGAAGGAGTTGCGAAATTCGACACTACATTAATTCAGAGATAGAGAGGAATAATAGTTAACGAAGCAAAGAAATGATCACGAAGTACTTGAATAATCCTTCAAGATCATTAAAGTATTACGTCATCAAGATTAGAAAAAGAGGATATCATCGAATAATCACAGTTAACGATTCTAAGAAGACTAGAGCTCTCTTAAAAGTGATGTAGTCTTATTAGATTGTTTCAATACAGTGCAATGACTTACTGTACCATATGATGGGTTGAGTATATCAACTAAGTAACAACTTTTGTCCCGTTTCTTAACTAATTACATCATTCGTCATACTTTTTACACAAATATATGGGGCACTGCAGAGGTTTTTTCAGCAGCTCTTTAAGAAAATATATTAAGGTTGATTCTAGTCTAGTTTTCCGAGATATCACCCATTAGTAACAATGCACTTGAATATACGACTAGGCTAGATCATATAAGTGATTTTTGAGATTATGTTTAGTGAGAAAGATAATGACTTGTAGCAACACATGTATCTTTATGTTGTCATCATTGAATTTAACTCCACATAGTTTGTATTAGAATTTTGAAAGTTAAACGAGTTTAGATAAGTTTTCGAGAAAGAACTAGTCACCAGATCCAGTTCTTGGTAACAGAACTAGTCAAACGAACTCGCAACTGCCAAGCGTCTAAATATGTTGATCTCAATCCTGAAAGGATGAGCATAGAAAATGGAAATTCGTGTATTTGTCAGGTGTCTGATTGGTTGACCAGGAACCAATAGAAATCGAGTTTTCAAAAAGTTGCTCCCCATAGGTAATTTGGTGCCGGGAGTTCGAATATGAATTTCATTTTCCTCGAAACCCTATTGGTCGACCAGGAGCCAATAGAAATCAAGTTTTCCGAGAAAGAGCTGCATAGTTGTAATTCTAGTTATTGTCTCTATTTGCTGCTTTCAGGATTGAGTCAAGCGAGGCTGAATGATCGACGCGTTACTTGTATGTTAAAAAAGGGTCCCAAATAAAAATTCCTACTTGGTCACCAGGAATGTATTAATTTTTTAATTGTCTACAAATGTCGATATGATGTAGAAAGTGATTTAGGACATCACATTTTTAGGCAAATCGAAACGTATCCCCAATATATTGTTTTCGTCTTCCGACATATATGCTACAGAAGGAATAGAGAAAGAGAAATGAAATGTAAATGTATAAGTAAGCGAATATAGAGAAAGAGTGCAACACAATCCTACTGATCACCAGAGATTTACTCACAGTACAATATTTTCTAAAGTACTGGATTTTCATGTTAAAAGATTTTTTGTATGACAGAAATAAGGGAGTATTGAGTCACAGTAGGTATTGCACGTATTATATAAAAAAAATCCCTAAATTCAAAAATCTCTAAATTAAAATCCCGATTTTGTTCACCAGTATAGACATTAATTGTTTAATTATCCATAAATGTGGGTGTCATTTAGGAATGCATCTAGGGATCCAGATTTCTGGTAAATGATAACCTACTCACTTGCTATGCTAGACGAAAGATAGGAAAATCCATGCTTTTTTATTTCGCTAGAAACTAATTATACCAAGGGTGGCACAGCGCGACTTCACGTACTTCTCCGTGCTTCGCTCGTACTTCGAAATTATGCTTGAGGTACAGTGAAATTTGAGTGAAATAAAAGTGAAGTATAGTGAAATGGAGTGAAGTACAAGTAGAAATACAAGTGAAGTACAGTGAAGTCTCGCTTTCCCCCCCTTGGATTATATACTTTATATACGACTTTGTTTCTTCGATATCTCAAGATGAGCTCACGTTATAAAGTTGCAGTTTTCGCCAAAATGTAGCGCAGCTGG